GGGGGGAAATGACACTTTTAGTGAAAGTCCTTCTAGCATTTGTTTGTTTGTTTTTCTTTTAAAAATGAAAATAATCGAACCATCAATATAGCTTTTATTCAGAAAACTATCTCAAATAGATTAAAAAAGAAAGAAAGAAAAATTGCCCTGTGATTAGAAACACACATTATTTCTATTAGGATTAGAATTATTTGACATTTTAAGTCTACCCACCCCCAAATGCTTTACTCACTTTCTAGCTATTATTTCCATCAGTAATCAAAATGATTGATGTCTATTCATTCTCATAAAATTATCACCAGTCTATTTACTGAACATTACTTCAGTGTATAAAAACATTTCAATAACAGTTCAATTCACTAACCGAGTTGTTCAATGAATAAGATTTCTTTTAAGAGGATACTGAAGTCATTCTATTTCTCATGGATGCTTAATACATTTTAATTTCTTGGGTTTTTTTTCCCCACCTCTCATCACTTAAAAACAACCATCATGCAAATCTAAGTGGTTAACTATAATTGCAAGATTTGCCTTCTACACTCTCAAATTCAGTGTAAGGAAACACGAACACCGGAGCAGCTCAGAGACACACACTTACCCTCTTCATAACCACAGCCAGCGCAAGCTCCACTTCAGCCTTCAGCCATTGAATTGTATCCTGAAGTTTCGGTCCACCACACAATCAGATAAATCCTAGCTCGTGGGAGCTACGGCTGGAAATTGTGCTACCAACAGAATTGCCCAACAATTTTCCATGTGCTTAACCTAGGCAGGAAAAACTGCTCCATGAACTGAGAAGAGTGGTGTTAAATGCAAACCAGAGGAGTGATTTCACTTCAGCCGGAACTTGTGACTAGGGCTGCCAGGTCAGGAAATGATTAACACTCTGGTTGTCATCTATTTGAATTCTCCAGCTGCGAGAGAGATCGGTTTATCAGGCCAGTGCATGTGTGTTGTGAATACACTGTCGCTGGCTGAGCTGGCATTTAGCAAACCTGAATTCAATATCCGGGTTTTTGGTGTTGTTTTGTTGGAGGTGGGGGGCCTGTTGGTTTTTTGTTTGTTTTTATGTATTTAGAGCCTGTGCAAACTTTGTGAGTGCTGCTATTGCTAGACTATGGTTATATAAGATTTTGCTTTTGCTTTTACTTTTTTTTTTAAATCATTTTATTGGGAGCCTTACAGATATTATAACAACCCATAATTCAATTAGATCAAGCATAATTGTACATTGCTGCTACCATACATTTCAAAACATTTTCTTTCTTCTTGAACTCGTTGATGTCAGCTCCCCTTAATCCCCTCCCTCGTCCAATACTTTTCATTTCTGTGCTCCACGTTAAAATGTTTCACATTCTAACACAGAACCTGATGTTAGAATTCCACAGATAGCAGTCACATTAGCCGTCCGTCTGCTCTCCCCGCCTGTTTCTCGCCCTAACCGGGCTTCAGCTATTTGTGGATAGCCC